TATTCAGTGCAAGAGCTTAACGAGACAAACGGCATGAGAGAACTTTTGGGCAAAAAACATTTAACCGTATAGAAACTTTTTCTTTTTGTAAAAATCAACCCACAAAATCGATTGGAGTGATTCCAAAGCCAATAAACTCTTTTATAGTCAAAGAAATTTTTTGGTATCACTTTGATTGCTCAAGGCTGCTCTTGTCTGTCCACTATCGGGTTTCTCTTTTTAACTGTACAAAGAAAAATGTGACTTGGGCATGCAAACGTTAAAAACACCCCTAAATCTTAGTATCTTTTTGTACCAAAAAAAAAACAATAGGGAAAGGATGAAATCCAACCCCTAAACACTCTAGCAGTCGTCACACACACAAACACACACTCTCTTTATTTTGAGAAAGGAGAATTTCAGTTCATTTCTCACTCAGTGAATGAATACATGCACCTAACATTCCAACTCCCTCTTTGAGTGTTTTCTAACCTTAAAACATCGAGTGGAATAAGTATTCATACTTAAGTTAAGCTAAACCTTTAATAACTAATTAGGTCGACTGATAATTAGGCCCATTAGCATATTTAAGTACAAAAATTAAACAAACTTGGACTGGGATATCATTTCTAGGTTTAATTAGTCAGGTAATTCTGGTTTAAGGATTAGGTAGAAATCCTAAATTCAGTATATATATGCTCTTTCTCTTGTACTAACTAGAATGAAAATAGAAAATATGACTTCACTACTAGTTAAGAAATCAATGTTATTTATTAGCTTATCTAATCATTACATACATTTATATACACACACACACACACAAATACATATATATTGTTCCCCATCTCTGTTGTAGAATATCATTTTGTACATATTCTTGTGCATGATTATGATTTCTCTTTGAATAATTCCATTTGTTCTCTTTTCTTATTGATTTATGTCCATATCAAGTTTGCATGCAGTTGATTTTATGTAAAGTTCAATTTCAAATGTGAAATTTTCAATGTTTTGAACCATTCTTGACTGCCTCTCTCAACCACTAAAGTGTAGTTTAGGCAAAGAGAGAGAGAGAGAGAATTTATTCAACCCAAAGCTTTTTCCAAGTTGTTTCGTTCAATCATCTGCTCCACCAATGCAATGAAGATATTATTCTTTTCTCATCAAGAAGATGAAAGGAGAGATAGTGACATTTCTGTAGATTGTTGTATTTTATAAATAGTGACTCACCAAATGCAACAAAATTGGTGAGTTGACTAGTTCATGGTTTATTTATGCCCAGACATTGGAGGTAACAAAGGTCAAATTTCACTTAAGACATTGCTTAAGATGTTTTTCAAAAGGTATCTGTTTCATTGCATAGAATATGGAATATTTAATTCAGTTCAGGATTGGAAGAAAGAAAGAGAGATCCTGACACTGTCAAATTAATTATCTTATTTTATAAATAACATTCTAATTCTAAAGAATAGTTTTTGCTCTTCAAAGAGAAGAGAAAGCTACAGCTTGACTTGGTTTCAATTTGTGGAACTAAAGATTTGATTAAGTTTCGTTTGATTTATGCTTTTAGTACTTGTTTTTTTATTGGTGAGTGGTGACTAATTGAGTAACTTAGCCTTTGGTTTATTCATTAAATATTTCTTCTACTAGATGTGTAACTATGGTATATGTGATAATTACGTGAGAAAAATTATTACATGTATCTTCCCTGTCACTCCATTTATAAGATTGACAAATCAAGAGATAGTACAATTAAAATTGATCACACTGAACATGTACGAGTTCATGTGTTTTTGATTAATTTGAAAATTATTTACCATATTTATTAAAATTTGGAAAAAGAAATCTTTTGCCTAAAACAACTAACAAAGGAAGTCATCTAAGAGAAATTTTCTCGATCTTTCTTTATCAAATTACTCAAACAAAATTAAATTAAATAAAGTTAAATGTCATGGTAACCCCATTTCTCACCTTCTTAGAACCAATCAATGTGTAGAATGATCATTCGTTATAAGTTCATTTATTTTATTTATTAGCTTATGTGGTCAAGGCAAGTTAGGGGTGGAATAGACATCCTGGGTTGGAGTTAAAACAGTCCCCCTTGTACTAAAAGAATTATTATTATTGTTTTGTATGTGTATTGTCGTGAAAAAGAACAAGAGATGAAGGCATGGATTTATCTAAACCTCTATTAATTTTCCATTAAAATATTCTCAAATAAGTGACATAACACGATAACTCCCTTACAAATAAACAGAATTTAGGAAAGTGCTAATAAAAAGTGTATTTTAATAAAGATGTTCATCGATCGGGTTCGAGTTGATTTCTGATCGAGCTATCAAGCCTTCCTTTTTATATGCTAAGCTTGATTCAACTCGATCCGTCCATTTACATATATTATTAAAATAATAAAATAATATTTTATAGTAATATTTTTAAAATTAAAATTAAATAAATATTATTAAATAATAAAATAATAGGGTTGGGTATGTAGCCCGGCTTGGACACCTTAGGTTAGGAGAAAATGTTCTTTTCTCTTCATTCAAAAAATAAATGAGATATTGAGATTAATCCTTTTTCCTTTAGCATGATTTCTCATATAATTTATTTACTCTATTAATAGGAATTGTCACCTCTTGTACATTTTGCATGTATGCCAAAAACTAAAACTTGGTCCAGAAAAGGGATGGAACAAAACTTCATGATTGTGGCATAGATGATCATGAATTAGGAGGTTGTCCAAATCACATTTGTGATTTTGAGTATAGGTTTGATGGGAAATTTGTCACCATTACAGTTACAGTTGTATACGAGTCTCAGAAAGTGACATTTGGTGTTGGGTGTTATTATTAGATCAAATCATGGGCTCAAACCCTCCCGAGGTGGTTCTCTTATGTGGACCCAAATCTTGATGGCCTGTGGCTGCCAAGTCTGAAGAGATTCATGCATCGAAAGGAATAGCATATGCCAACATTGGCGGTTAGAACTTGAATTAGGTATAGGTCTGATAGATAAGTGAAAGAAAATAAAAAAAAAAAAAAAAGCTGAAAAGAAGCCTTTGGTGGGTCAAGACTCCATGACTACAACAGTTACAGTTTTGTTAGATATGCTCATCTCTCAGGGGTGGCAAATTAATTAGGAGGCCTTCATTTACTTACGCGTAGCTTCCAGTTTAGCCACATGCTGCATCAAGCTCAGCTTCAACAGAATGGATTTTGATGAATACCTGTTCTTTGAGTATTGCAAGATGAGTAAGCTTTTGATACACTTGGATATATGCTGCTTTAAACTCTAGAGGAAGAGAGGAAAAGTCATGTTTGATTTGTTAAAGGCTGCTGCTAAACGCCATAAGCTTTATAACAGGCTTAGAGCTTGCTCAAGGTTACAAATGCAGAACTTGCAGCTGCAGGATCAACGGATGAGTGCTTAAGAGATAAGCCAAGCAATTTTTGTGCCGAGGACCAGAGGTCTTCGATGGGTATTAATAGTGTAGTTTTATGCCTTGTAAGCAAATAAGTTGGTCTGTGTAAAGATATATCTTGTATTTAAGTTTTAATTATTTAAAAAAGACATTCTTGATTTTTAAAAGGACTTATAAATATCGATTGATTGAAATAAAGTTCACGGAATATTGTATGTTTTGCGCAAGATAATATAAAAGGTTATAATTATAAAAACCTTATTACATGAAAGTCTTCTTTCTAAATAGCTCTTAATCAAAGTTTTATATAAAACAAAATGGATATTGCTAGAATATGAAAACCAATACATGATTATATTCTTAACTTATAAAATGAGTAATCCATCTCATAAATTGAATTATGAGGATACATGAATGAACATGTGGGTATTTGTTATAAGGATAAGTTCACTAAACACAACCTGTGATTAAAATTTCATTTAATATGTCACTTTTAATGTTTATGAAATAATTTCTTTTATGACAATTATGTTAGTGATCATTAGATATGAGATTATTAATTTATCTTATACGTGGAATGTTATGTTTTGATATATTATAAAGTGACTCTAACCAAAGATATTAAAAGAAGAAATGGATGTCAAGAGTAGCATGAAACACATCAAGATAACTCAATGATTAGTAAAAGATTCATCACTTTATATAAATACAAAGAAAATATCTCATTGTAACTTGAATAGTAATATTTAATTCAGGGAAATCCTTGATTAAGGCAGCTAGAGAAGTGGACAAAAGGTTTGTACGTTGTCTAAATACAATTCCAAAATTTATAAGTTGGGTTTGAATTACCTGTTCCCAAATGAAGAAAAAGGGTAAAACAGAATTAGCAACAATGGGTGAGTGATGGTGGCCTGTCCCACAAGGCTGATGCTCTGTTTTATTCATTTTTGGCCCAACAAAAAAATGTTGAGGAGCTTGGGGCCTTTAGGGGAATGGGCCTTCTTCCTATAAACCGGCCCATTTTCCTTACAGAAAATGCATAACGTATTACTTTGCCAAAAGAGGTTGATTATTGATCTAGTTGCCTATGGTATTTCGTATTGACTTGACAAAATAATGACATGAGACTAAGGAAAAAAAATCACTTTTAAATTAATCACATATATCATATTTTTTACTAGTATTTTTGCTTAATAGTTTTAACTAAAAAGGAAATGAAATTATAAATAATTCTATGAAACAAAAAAATTAAGAGTATTATAAGTTTTTTTTTATTTGAGGGATGAAAATCCGAATTCAATTTTTTAAATAAAAGATAATATTACTTTATAAGTATTTTGAAAAATATTTTGGATGAATGGTTCAATTTGTAATGGAAAGTGCATTAGTCTAAAATTGACATAAATGATAAATTTAAAAAAAAATTCTCAAAATCATATTTAACCTTTTTATTTTTCTATTTTCTATATTAATCATTTTATAATTTATCTAACCTTTTTATATGAAAAATGATTGCACATCGATATTTAAAAATTAAAATTTTTAATATAAGATATATTAAAAAAATCAATGCTTTCTTCTTAATCTCTTACCAATAAAAGATTATAGGACCGGGAACTAATCCCTTATCTCTTTTTTAAACATATTATTTCAGTGTTTTATGGTGGGGAGTAGAAGTTGAGACGAAGAAGAAGCCAAGGCGATGATGAAATGTGCAGCAATGGTTGTAGGAGGTTACAGGCCCCTGCTGAGGCCCACATGCGTGGCTTCAACTTCCAAAATCAGCACAGAGCAGCTTCGTTACCAGCTGGACCAACTACATGCCGAAGCTGAGACCACCCGAGCCAAAGGTAACTAATTCTCTCCTCTCTTCTTCTTACCATTTTTCATCGAAATCACCATTACCCATTTCCCCTTTTACATTATTAGATTTATAACTCTATACCCATTTCGATTTAGAGCATGTTGACTTTGATAGTTGGTGTTTGAAGTCGACAAACTAAATAAATGCAATTTTTCACGGGCTGACAAGAATTTAAGTGATTCCTTGGATCATATTGGAATAACTTTTGTAACTGGTTGTGATTGGGATTAATTTGATTGGTGAAGAATGAATGTAAGAAAATTCGAAGTTACTATTTCTTTGTTGATATTCAGCTAGCAGTGCTAGATTGAGGTTTTTGCGGTTATCAGAGGCAGCTGAAAAGTTTCGGCGCCAGGCTGCTGTTAGTATTCAGAGGGGAAGCGAAAATGAGGCAAGGGACCTGCTTTGTCAGAAGAAGAAGGTTATGCAAGCTTTGGAAAAGTCTAAGAGTCGGATTGAGTTATTGGATAAGCTTTCTACAAAGCTTAATGAGGTATAATGAGATTGTACTTGATAATATTCTTGCTAATATAAAGAACAAAGAATTAAAATTAACATTTAAAAGATAAAAAGTATTAACCTATGAGTTTGGATAGTATCAGCAATAAATGCATTATTATTGTGAAAAACTTAAAATAAGGCATTCCATTAACTAATTTCATGACATTTGCTATGCGTCATGTGCAAACTTTATAAATGATACAGTGCATGGAGTTTCTGTTTATCCATTATGTTGAACAAACATAATTTCTATTTTTCACTTGAAAGAATTCAGTGAAATTATCCTTAAATATATTTTTTTAACTGTGTGTGGTAAAACATCAAAGTGTCTTGAAGCCTCCACTTTGATTTATGGTTTTAATAGTTGTTTTATCTTCTCAAATTTGATATTGCTATTTTCTGATCAATAGAAAATTTGGGTTGAAGCTTTTAAAATCAGTTAATTACAATTTTGTTCTTTTCCTCTGAGTAGTACGGTGATACTGTGATATACTTCAATAAACTTTAGATTACTTAAAACTTAAACCAATGTGGGATTTATGTTCTCCCCACTTAATAATATCAAATTTGTATCATAAATCTTATTACATCATGGATAGCATTTCCACATTTAGGGGATATGGAAACTGCCTGAGGGGCTCAAATGGTGGTTACCAATCTGTCTTTTCTTTGTTAGTCTGACTTTTTTACTTATCTAGTTCCACGTAATTTAAATTTTGCATGACTTGCATATTTATGATTACAGTTGTTGAAATTCAAGCCCACAATTGTTTCTTATTTTTTGATGGATTCCTCGAATTTTTAGTGTACCATATAGTCCAAATAAGCCACGATATTCTGATGCTGCTTATGCTAATATTTTAAGTTTTATGCAAAACTTAAGTGGTAATTAGAATATGATGCTGGTATTGGTGGGTACTGGTGACTATGGGATTTGCACACTTACCTAAACATAAAAAGCAAATTCTAAATTTACAAATATTTTAAGAATACTTTCTCATCTCTTTCTGGTTACATGACTGTCTGAAATGTTCAGTGCTTCTTAGTTCTTTCTGTTACATAAATGAACAGCTAATGATCAATGGTTGGAAGTGTTGTGTAAGATAAACACTGCATTTTTCCTATATTCTGCAAAACAAAAATTTGGTAGTTTCAGAAGTAGTTTACTCTTGTCCTATGGAGCCATGCTAAGCACTAGGCAAGACTCCCAGATATCATCATCTGATATGTATATGCTATTTAAAGATCCATATACTTTATATCTTGTATGTAAAAATAAGTTGCTGTTTTCTTTTGGCTTTCGTTTCCATTTCCACCAGGAGTTGCCACTTATAAACTATTATTAATTGCTGCTCAAGGCTGTGATTTTCTGATTTTGATTCACTGTTAATGCAGTCAGTCACCCACAATAGATTTTGTTTTCTTTAAAAATTTTCTCTATAAAATATGATTTTCCTTTTTGTTGATCTTATTTGAAGGGCTCAATGGTTTGAGCTGTATTAACAAGTCACCTCAATTTCAGGCAATAACTGTCAAAGAAACTCAACTAATTGGGAACATTGCGTCAGAGACAGAAATAGGTGGAGAAGATGATTCTATGCCAGTTCGGATTGTATCTCCAAAGGAGCGAGCTGCAAATGATAAAAATCAGAATAAGGACATTGCCCATGATGCCCAAACACTCTGTGAAGATCAAAAGTTGCCGCTCCATACAGATGATCTCGTGGAGCAACCTGCCAATGAGGAGCTAGAGGAACATCAAGCATTTCCAAGTTTCATTGTATTTAATGAAGACACTATAAATAGTAGCTTGGCAGCAACATCAACTTATGAGGACTTCTTGGAGCATCTGGATCAACAGCTCAAGAAAATTGAACAAGAACTTGTAACAGTATTGAATGTTTCAACATTGTTACTGGACGATGAGAAGCCAAAAAATTTGAAGGTGCAGCAAACAAGGGAACTTCTTGAGAGTATCGTTGACATAAGACAGAGGTAACCCTTTAACCAACTTAAAAATTGGTGAAACTTCAATCCCATTTCTGCTTTTCTCAACTTTGAAACAATCAACAATAACAGCTTAGACATTTTATACCATAGATCATTGTTAAGTTTCTCAAACCTGTATCTTCGCAGAATTACAAATATGAGGCAGACGAAGGTAGAGATCAGTTAAGGCTTCATTATTATCTCAGTCAGGTTCCTACTACCAGGTGAGGGCATTTTTTTAGCAGAAATTATTTCATATAAGTAAAAGTTTCTACATTGCAAGTTAGCATTTGTTTTATGACTGTTATAGTTATTGCTGGCAGCAAAAGCACCAACTGCATTTGTGACCTTGTCTAGGCCAAATGTGGAACCCTCACATCTTACACTCTTTCTTCCATTTCTTTGGTGTTCCTTGACAAAGATGATGAAA